GATGTTTGTTCCACAGTTTTTGGTCTCTTCAGCCGGGAATTGGCTTCTAATAGAGTTTGCCTATTATCATCCTCATTGATGGACTCAAATTGTTTTTCTGACTTAAGCAATTTCGTCGTTTTTGCAGATTGCAGATTCTACACGAACACTACCTATGTATTGTGCACTCCCTCATGGTTATGCTGAATCGATGTAATCGATGAGAATCAAATTAAGCACTGAGTTTGTTATCAAGGAAGTAGGATATGCAGGAACTATGTTTTGGAATAGGCGACAAAACTGATGCCCATGAAACCTAATAGGATTTATTTGATTCAGTTTTCACATTTATTTATTGAGGTAAAATAGCATTTCGATCGATTTCCACTTTGTCCATCGATGCCTCTTCGTTGCGCAACACTATTGACGCTTCTGATACAGCAGCATCGGCGCTTCTGCTTGCCGATGCTGTCTGCTCGGTGCAGATTCCTAGCTCTAAAACTATTCAGCACTCATCGACTATTCAGTCAGTCATTATCGTGTCAGTGCTAATTCCATTCTGCTTACGCTATCAGCTAATAACACTCAATTACTTTGTCGAGTGCACTCTCGCGTTGACCGTTGACTGCCGTTGAGCAACTGAACCAACCCATTAAATTGTTTTATCCTATTCTAGACACTTTCATCTCGTTTCATGAAACCTATGCAATTCTATATCACATCAAATTAACATCATTTATAAAATTCCATACGGATACCGTACGTAAAACATCCGCGTACGAAGTCACTCGTATGTGCGATTTGAAAGTTTCAGATGTTTTATGTCAATAAATGCTCATGAATAATTCATGCTTGTGAGGTTTTGTCGAGCAATTGATTTAGAATATTTTTCGTGGGTTGTGACTTATTGATGCGTTTACGACTGAGAAAATTGTGAGTAGTTAAGAGATGGTGAGCGTGATGTTTTCACTTCCGATTTGAACCGTTCAAAATAGACGTTTCGTTTCGACTTATCGTTAAAGTGTGAACCTTGAATGATCGATTGCGCTTAATCACTGCACTGCAAAACGCATTTTGTCAGTCTTGATCACATCTGAACTGGTCACATCAGCTATCATCTCAGACCGTCTTATACAAACTCAATAATTCTTCTTTGATGTCTGAAGACAGTTGCAACCGAACCAAAGAAGTGCTCTTCGACTAAGCAAACGACACTAAACATCGAAACTAGCCGTACGCTCCCACAGTCTATAATTTCCTTTCCATTTCGTGAGAGCTGTTAAGATTTTTTTCACACTAATCGAAGCTGAACCGTTTTTGATAAAAACGAAATGCAAAATGGCCACAAAATGAAAATGATCCACTGAGTGGTGAGCGCGAAAGGAAATGAGAACGCATCCGTTGAGAATAAAACAGTAAATTCCTTATCATGTTGAATTTTTTTTTAAAGTTTCATTACTCACACTGTTATCGCTGTCAGAGTTTCTTTTTGTTTTCTAAGGGTTGCTGTATTCCTTCCATCCATACAATTTCCGTTAAGAGATTAGATTTCTTTTCTGATTAATCACTAAGAAGCAATGCATTGGANGGGGGGGGGGGGGGATGGGAGAGGGATTATCGGAAGAGGAGACAGGAATGAACCACGTAGAAGGGATTATCACGGAAACAGAAGAAGGATTATCAAGGGATTACCAATTAGATTATCGGAAGGGGTAGGGAATGTTGATCTGCCACAAAACCAGACGGTGATCTGCTGCATGACGATACGCAGTGAGAACCACTAGCGTACAGAAATTGCTATCTTTAAACTGAAAATAACAACTCGGATAGTATCGCAAAAGTTTTCTGTGTGAGCACCTTCAGTCATTACATTAACTGAAGATAATGCATGATGGCTAAAACTTAAACTTGGAATTACCATTGCTTCCTTGAGAAGAGGCTGCTTTCTAATTCAATTTTGCACTCGTTGACTTCAACGGTCAACGTATCTTCCAAAAGAAGTAAAATTTACTCCTCACCGAACCGAAAGATCTTAAATAACAATTCGTTAGTATGCAGAATGGAAACTTACAGGATTACACAGAACAGCATCAGATCACATACATGTTACAAACTGTAATGTGACTTCTTTCCTTAGAGTACCGTTGCTCTCAGTAACATATTCAATGCTTAACCCAAGACGTGAGGGACCTCGCCTCTGAAACATCCCGTACCTTTCTACAAATCATTGTGCCCACTTCAATATCGTTTATCTCATACTCTGTGAATATGTGAAACATAACAAAATCAATTTCTGGAAATATGTTTGTTGTAGAGTGCGTTTGACTGAACGAAATCAAAAGTCAAAAGATCAAGGCCATCATTTTTTTCTGACAAAATTTGTCTAATATAACTCTCAGCTGTTGACTCGAGCAAGCCTATGATCACTTGAAAAATTCACAGCAAGGATATAGTACGTCCGTAAACTGATATATGAGTGTTGTTGATAAGCATAATGATTAGGCTAATCGTCTTACTTTGATGTATTCTCAAACTTGAACGAAACAGACATTTTGTGTTTTGACATTCTGCAGTCTCGGTGAAACGTTACTGATGACGTAACGAGCACTGACTGAGGAGAGTGTGTTCCAATAATGTTTCAGCGTTGATTTGGATTCGTTGCGAACGAATGCAAACACTTTTTAAACTCTTTCTTCACATCGAACAAACCCACTCTATCGACTGGCTGACTCACCTCACATTTTCAGCTCAAAGATTCAAGTTGGCCGTCTCTCGGAGAGTTCATTCAGCAGCCATACAGTCCTCCTCCCATTTTGAGTCACGCCTTCAGTGCACATTGATTTAGTGGAATCAGTAAACGCCGAGCTAACGCAGTCTAACTACAGACCATAGACAACCTATCGCAGTGAATCTCAAATGACCGGACGTTTTAAGTTTGTTCCGGCAATTTTTCACTCTGATGACATTGAATGCATCCCTAACTTCTTCTGAAGCTACCAGTGAATTTCCTGACGACAAATTCACTCAAGCTGTTTGATAGTGATGTATCGCGTTTGGAATTTGCATGAATCGTGTCGCCGCAATTTCAGCTGATCGCTGTTGTCTCTTCACTAATATTCCATCACCGTTGCATGTGACGCTCCGTGAATCCTTATTGATCAAATGCTTTCGATAGAGCATCTCTTTGCCAATTCATGTTGATCAACGATTATTCGTGCAATTATATCATTGAGCAGTTTGGTCACGAACTGATACGATCGCTTATTTAATTCATAATTGCAAATGCATCATATTCGCCGTTTTCTCGCTTTCAGATCCTTTTCAACGCTATTCAAATCAGCTTTATCTGACAAGTGAAATGCTGAAATAACACCTTCATCGTTGCCGTCACCTGTAGAAAAGCATATTCATCGCTGATATCTATCGTATTTAGTGCAGACTTCCCCATTGCTCAACCTATCAAAATGCAATCTACTTCAAGAACACAAAACGAGAATTGTATAGTTTATACGGTAAGCACATTATGAAGTGTTTTTTTTCACTTTTATTTTCCAGCTTTACACCATCTGAATGTGATTCGTACCGTACTTCAAAACTTAGTTAAATTTCGTGATTAAAACTTGAATTACATGAAACCGTACCTTATAAGATTACAAAAAACCATACTTTACAAGATTTTAAGAAACCATACCTTCAACAATCTACATTAAACACATAACTGTCCATAAATATTCAGTATTCACCGTGGGGTTTGAAAGCTATTGGCTTTAAGTGACATTCGTTGAAAGCGCATGAAATATTCATAGATAAATTTCCAATTTCGAATCGTCCGCTCTTACCAAGAATATCACGTTGTTATCAACATATATTATGCCTCAGCACATCCAATATCTACACTGAAATTTTTACTTTTGCTACTTTTCCTGTGGGATAACTGAAGGATATATTTTGAAAATCGCTTGGGAATGCGATTGATGCGTTCGTATTGCTTATTTTATTTATTCCGAAATATGAGGTGGATGTCGTGTCTCCTTTCAATGGACTGTTCACATCTTGAAGAGGGCAATATTCTGACAGCTCAATGATCACGATGTTTAAGAATAGACAATATGAAACTGTTTTATGAAATCCTTATGAAATGCTCACGATAGTGCATGGGAACTTTCTGTACATAGTAGACGGAGAATGCGGATAAGTGTTAGCCTCTCTAAGCCTTTTTATGAACTCTAGCCGGAGGGTACGTCCAACTCCGGTAGTGAGGTTAAGCCCGCTTACGAACTGAGTTCACAAAGTAGACAGACGTTCACTTGCTTGCGTGTATTTGTAAACTAATATGAGTTTTATGAGCGGCCATCGAAAGATACGACAATAATTACATGCTTTCAACAACATTTTGAGAAAACAATATTGCGGTTATGAGCAAACAACATGAAATTGAATCTTTACCATGAAATTCGATTGTTATTTTGGCTTTATTCAAATACGACACTTGATATAAGCTAATTGATCATTGCTGTTGTTCAATCGATTCTGTGATCAAGTAGCAATCGTCGATTGACATTCTCTCGATCAGGGCTTGTTTCTCATTATTTGTGATTGGTGTTTAAAATCGCAACATGCGTTTAGTACCAACTGCCGATAAATGTGAGGAGCGCAGTGGTGAAACGAATAGGATGAGGTCAACGACTTTGAGTGTGATTCTATCAAGCGGAATGTTGATGTGATAGAAATGTTTAGCATAAGATGACAGAATGTCACGATCGTTGTTGATTGATGACAAATCTTAACTGAAGCTATCCATCTATAATTAAGTTGCTCAGCTGTTACCTGCTCTTGAAACATGAGAATGTCGAAGAATAAATGAAAGAAACATCAAAACAGTTTCGTTTTGCTAAGCAGTTTTAATCAGCTGTTGTTAGTGAGTTACAACGACTAAGTTAGATGATGAGTTACGACAATGTTGAAGAGAGATGAACACGTTACATGGTGTAATTGGGTTGTTCAGTTAGTCGTAGTGATTTATTGAATCTGATTCAGAAACCGAAACCGAAACTGTTTATTTACGTGACAAGTGGCTATTTGATGATAGTCTCGGGTTGAAGCGGCGATTATGTGAACAGCTATGTCATCTTGAAGGCAATGTGATTCCGTCTCATTCGTTTACTCAGTGAAACGTCATTTGTGAGTGCTGTTTGAGAATGTGAAGAAGTATTTGATTGACATTTGACGTTTTGATGAATACGTTTAAGTTGAGTGAGCAACACGAGTGCACATGAGTGTTACAATTTGCGTTGTATGAAGTAAAACGAGGGGAAAAGAATGAAAATAACTACCTCAAAACTAATGGTAAGGTAGTCGCTAGCAATTGAACAATTTAAACAAAGACGATAGCAAAACATTCCGTCCAAGTCACTGGATTAATGGTTTCGGTAGAATCCGACCAGCTGTGGTTACTGCGTGCAATCGGGATGATAAGTGGCAAGTTGAAGTGATCTTTATCGCTGCTGTTGTTTTTCGCCACTCTGCTATCAGTTCATGGATACATTTCAGGAATGTGGAGTGTTTTAAATAGATGATCTGTTTGAAAGTATCACGAATAAGTGAATCCTCACTTGAATCCTCACTAAATTTGCTTTGATTTTGCCTAAACTGC